AAAGATTTATTAACGTAGTAGTATGAAGCAGGGTGAGGCTGAAAGCCGTCGAAGCAAAACGAGGCCGCTGAACAAGCGCGACACACGGCTTGAAAGCAGCGGAGCTTTTATTATGCCACAGTCGACCGCTTCCACGCCTTCCGGAAAGCAGCGGAAGTAAGCAGCGCTTTTCAGCAAAATATATAAAACTGTTCTAGTGGTTTTTGGATATTTTAATTTAAAAAATCGTACATATTGTGCCTTTAAGTCGTCTCTGCCAGGACAGCAATAATCAAAAGACAATAATTAGCATGGTAAATTTTGCTTCTGTGAGTCAAACTCGGCCTTGTTTGACTCCCAGCCTGTGCTTGAATGCATTGTGACTATCGAATTCTTTATGCAAGGACAGCTTTCACACTCTTGTCGGAAAACATCATTTATGCAGAAACAGGCCTGAGAGTGGATTACGTGAGGAGCCCAGTCTGAAACATTTGTATGTGAACTGAACAAAGTGTTGGGATGTACGTTTTCAGTGGGCGTTTATCTGGCCCGTTTGATCTTGACCAGGTTTAAGGTTGAGGCTGAGTTTAAGGAGACGGTAAGTAGACGGAGTAGTGTTTCTGACCGACAACTCTCACATTTCTCCTGTCTTAAAGAGCTGATGAGAGTGATAGTAGGGTCAGGGTTAATTGAGTTTAAATGAGAGGCGCGTGACAGGGGCTTCTCTGTTATCTCTTGTTTAGTTATAATTAACCTCTGTCCATTGTCCTCTATATCAGGATGAATCCCAACCACTGACAGCACTTGTGCAAATGTGCAAAATTAACTTGTTTGACAAGTATTAGAAGAAATCGGAAGTTCTAAAATGCAATACATCTCATTCAACACATTTTGAAGGAAGAAAAGCTTTTGAATAGATTAGCCTGATAGATGACAACACACAGGAACTTCTGATCTGGTATATGGTGTCTAGTGTGTTAAAATGTGATACATTTTGACAACCTGCTCAGAATTTCCCATTGTTGAGTGACTCATTGAGGTCACACACTTCATAAAGCAACAAAGTCATTTGGAATAGCACACTGCCAACACCAGTAGGTCTTGTTCATGTGCAATATTGCTCAATTATTGTGATTATTCAGTCTCAACAATAAGGATTTTTCTGGACTATTCAGATCTTTAATTCCCCTGCCAACATTTTCACTGGCCATCAATCATCAGGCTTGTTTTGAGAGTGACTTTGCTTCCCTGTAATAGAAGCAGAATTCTGATCATCCTTGCAGGAACCTGTCAGGGATACCACCAGTGTTCGAACTATACCGTGGACTTTGGGGGAGCCCAAATTGCGAATTTCATGCCTTACCTTAACACAGAATCGACCACAGAGTCCAGCGTTTATATTTTTTCTACGAATCTTTGGGTTAACATGTACTAAACATGAGTGGAATTTGCACCGCAGCGCCCCCACACCTTGATGCTCATGACAAGAATAGCATGTATAGTTATCTTTATTGAAGTTAATTAGGTTTAAATCGCCGTCATGCATGGATGAATGATATTTTTGCAATTTTACACATAATAATCCACGATGATCACATTACACAAAACTGAAATTGCACGTCAAAATAACACATTGTCGATATTTTTTGAGACCCCCCAAAATTTCACAAATCCCCTTTTCAGGGGAGCCCATGTCTTATTAAGGGGAGCCGAGCTCCCCCTAGCTCCCCCGTAGTTCGCACCCTGGATACCACCATCCCACCGTGAGTGCCAAGTGTGGGTGAGAGACATGCAGGCCACTGGCCTTTCTCTCCTCTCTCACCTTTTGGAGAGAATGATCTAGAGCATTATCCCTTCTTTCATAGTCTATGTGAAAACAAATGATGATTAGTTTTCTATTCTTCATGCTCTCAACGTCTCAGACCGTTCAGAGTGATTTGGAGGCCGCCGCCTCAGTCTGTCATCCTCTTCCCACTCTTTTCACTCTAGCTGTCGACTGGTAATGAGGTTTTTCCAGTGCTTCATTGTTGTTCATTGAGAGCCACACACTTTAGATGCAGTTCTTGAACTTGTTAAAAAGCACAAGGAGAAAAGACATTGTGTTTACTTCATTTTGTTATCATTCTGTGACTTTGTTTTTTAAAGGAATATTCCACCCAAAAATGAAAATTCTCTCATTTTCTCACCGTCATGTTGACTCAGATATATGTGAATTTTCTAAAAATATAAATTTTTGTTCTTCTGGAAAACCAAAGTCATATACATCTCTGATGGCTTGAGGGTGAACTATCCCTTTAAAGTGTCATATACACTAACATTCAAGGGTTTTTTTTTTTTAAATAATACTTTTATTTAGTATGGATGCATTAAAGTGTTCAGAGGTGACAGTCATGGCATTACAAAAGATTTCTATTTCAAATAAATTCATCAAAGAATCCTGAAAAAAATGTATCATGGCTTACACAAAAATATTAAGCAGCACAACTGTTATCAACATTGATAATAATAAGAAATGTTTTTTTGAGCTCCAAATCAGCATATTAGAATGATTTCTGAATAATCATTTGACTCATGTGATTGAAAATTCAGCTTTGCCATCTCAGGTATCAATATATTTTTAAATATAAAAATAGAAAATAGTTAATTTAAATTTTAATATATTACAATTTTTGTGTTTGATTTAACACTTTATTTGTATTCAGTTTTTTCCACTAAGTTCCACTTATAATCTTAGTAAAGTGTATTTTTGTGCTAAAAACATAAAAATATTTCCGCTCTCTTTCTGACCGTTAATTAAATGGTCTATTTTTCTGTTCTTCCTTTAAGAAACATCCCATTCTTTTTCTTTTGAAAATGAGAACCACTGTCTGATCTGCTTGCAGACAAGGTTCTGATCAGATCAGATTTTTGTGATTCTGTTTGTGATTCACAGAAAATTACAGACTTTGCAGCTTTAATCAACATCACCTGGTAATCAGTGGGAATTTGGTTTAGAAATTATATACTATCAGTCACTTCAATTGTCACGTTGACCAGCAGTGATCTCACTGTTACAAAGCTTACCAATCAGAATGACAGGGAAGGTAACCAGAAACATCTAGACGGACAAAAACGAAGTTCACTAAGTCAACAGTTGCACAAACATTGCCAACAAACACTAAACTACAATAACACAAGGACACAGACGGACATACGGACAGTGCCATCCACAGTACACAGTTGTCTGATGAGCTCATCTCTAAATATACAGCACAGAGGGCCAATGACCCCCAGCAGCTGTGAATGGCCTGAGAAGACATGAGCTTTAAATGGAAGAGAATGCATTGTGACCCTGAGAGAGATTCAGCTGCCTGGCTTATCACTCAACCCTTGTGACAGATAAGGTTGAATGCTGAAAGAGTATCAGCCACTGGCCCACAAATGCCAAAACGCACAATGTCTCGGCCTTTTAAAGGGGCAACGTAATAAATCACATCAAGGGCCGAGTCACAGCTTAACCTATCATTCAGTTTGCTTGACTGGTGGTTTCCATATTCAGATGTCACAAAACATCATATATAATGTCTAAAGTGCTTGATTGAGAGTAGAAACTGGTGGAAATGGATGGTTTTCTTAAAGAGTAAACAAATTAACCATTCATACATATCCAATTTTGGTCACATCTGAAAGTATAAAATGAACTTTGTTTTGGAAAATAGTATCCAGTAAATGGTTATTTTGTATGACTTTTAAAGCCGAAATAATGTCAATTGTAACATGAATTTGCATTGGACTAAAAGCAGTCAAGCTCTGTACCATTGGCTGTTAAATATGGTAGGTATTTGTGTTTCATATGACTCTTTGACCCCTTTGTTAGGTTAAATTTGTTCCATGTGACTTGTGTCAGGACAGGAACAGGGTGGAGTACGGTTAAGGCTTCTCCGTGGCAAATGGTACATTCCAAAACCACATTTGGTCTCTAGATGTTCCCCTTTCAATAAAAGGGGATTAGACATTCCAAACATTCTGCCAGGGTTTTCAAAGTCCCTTTGATTGAATTATACAATTAAGTTACCATGCTGCAGTTAACATCATGCTCTGCCAAAGCTTCCATATGGGACAGGGGTGGCGAACGTCTGTCCTGGAGAGCCGCAGCCCTGCAGAGTTTTGCTTCAACCCTAATCAAACACACCTGAACAAGCTAATCAAGGTCTGAAGGGTTATTAGGAAGCTACAGGCAGGTGAGTTTTAATTAGGGTTGGAGCTGAACTCTGCAGGGCTGCGGCTCTCCAGGACTGGAGTTCGCCACCGCTGATATGGGAGAACCATTAGCTGAGGGGATGATGGTCTGTGTTTTTAACCTTGAGGATGTGATTGTGGCTGCCTCTCTATGCTGGTCTTTTTCAACTGAGTTGAACAGTGGTTACAAATCTCAGAACTATGCACATATAAAATGAATGTGTGCGCACAGTGATGGAAACACAACATTCTGTCTCATCGAGAGTGCAACCCAAATGATTTCAGATCCATATCAGATTTTCAGCACTGGGATGCTCATTTTCAAAGTTTTTAAATTCCTTGTTTTATTGTTGTGAATATTTTTTTCTTTTCTTTTATGTAAAGCACTTTGAATTACCATTGTGTATGAAATGTGCTATACAAATAAACTTGCCTTGCCTTGAAAGAACTTCCTTGTTTTCTCTACCTTTTGATGTTTCTTCACAGTTCAATTTTGTGGGAAGAATCCTGGGGCCCCGGGGCCTGACAGCCAAGCAACTGGAGGCAGAGACAGGCTGCAAGATCATGGTGCGAGGCAAAGGCTCCATGAGAGACAAGAAGAAGGTAAGACACTTTTTTCACTATTTTTTTACTTTTATTTTTGCTTTCTTTTTTTACTATGTATTTTCCTTTTATTTCCTTCCTTTATTATTTAAATTTCTGCTTTTTGTTTACTTTACTTTTTTATATTTCTTGTCTTTTCCTTTCCTTTTTTGTTTCTCTTTTCCTTTCACTTTCTTTTACTCTTTCATTCTTTTACTTTTGTTTCCTTTGCTTGTTAAAATGTATTTTCTACTTGCCTTGCATTGTCTTTCTTTCAAGGGCTTGTGGATGTGTTTTTACTGCATGTTTTTTTTAGTGAGGAAGACCATATACTACCTTTGCACCAGCACATAACTAATAGATGTCAAATGGAAAGAGACAAAATCCAGGCGATTCCATTTTAATGGAATTCCTGACGGAGTCTGTGTTGCCTTCCCGACTGTAGAACTGAGGCAGATGATCTTGCTGCCTCCAAGGCTGCCTGACACAGAAGAAAAATGACTCGCATTAAAATGAAAATGAGCGCTATTAGAGAAAGGAGAATGCTCTGTTTCTCAAGCTCAAAGAATACAGTTTCAGTTCCTTGTCTCATCCTACAACATTTAGTCTGAGTTTTCAGATTAGAGTACAATTTGGGCTTGTTGCACAAACAAATAATGCTACTGAAGACTGTTATGCTTTAATGGCATCTATGCCTTGTAAAGATATTTGATGTCAGACCATTTGCCTTTAACGTGGTATATAGACATTAGCAATTATGAACTACTGTCTTGAGTTCAGGCCTGTTTCCACAGACACATCTGGACTGTCTCCTTTTTGCATAATGGAAATCACTCAAAAATCAATTGTTTTATCAGTTTAAGACTTTCGAGGATACACCATCTGTGTTTATTCCTCACCGCACAACCTCCAATTCCTACACAAGCATGCAAATGAAACATTAAGTGCATACACGGTAAAATATTAGATATCATAATATTTAGGCTATAATATTGTAAATCAGGTTGGTTTGTATTGCTGACGTAATATGTAAATGATATGCTTGCGGCCCGCGAGACTTGCACTTGGACCATAGTGCGGCCCGGTGGAAAAAAAGGTTGAGAACCACTGGGTTAGAGGCTTTGATGAGATTCAGATTGATGGGAATTAATGGAACACATTGAACTGAGATGCCTCAAGCAAAGTGCCATTCTCTCACTTTATTGCACAACATATGTCTATCACACCCGAGATGCTTATAAAGGCTGTTTCGTTGGTCAAGACAGACTGGTGGCTCAGCATTCTTAGCCAGACGAGGTGTTGCACATCTAGGAAGCACAGAATAGACAATTGAAATCGAAAGTTTAAACCTCAGCTGTTTCCTCTAGTTCGACATAATTGTTTTATGACAGCAGCCACTAGGCCTTATGCTTTTCAAAACACTCTTGTCGTAATAGCATGTCAAAATTAAATCCGTGTAGAGTGTTTTTTGAATATTGTGCGAAAATGAGTGTTATATTGTGAAACCATCAAGACCTGTAGTGTTCTGCTAACTTAATTTCTGTAACACTGAAACTACTGTGACAGCAGAGCAAAACGTGTGCATAAATCCTGTGAAAAATTATGGCAATCAAGGAAGAGAGAGAAATAAGAAAAGTTACAGCCAGGGGCAAACAAGTCAGGCGTCAATAGGAGATGCCATCTGCATCTGTTCTCTTTGCCTAAATTGAATTTACTGTCACATTTCTTGGAATAAACACACAATAGGGTTAGGTTTCTGGTCTGTGAAAGGTGTTTGCTATTAGAATTAAAAGGTTAGCTTTTCCATAACATTAAATTTTAGTTTTTGTACTCACCTTCATGTCATTCCAAACCTGTATGACTTTTTTTGTCTGTGGAACACAAAAAGAGAAACTTGGCAGAATGTCCTAGCTGTTCTTTTCTGTACAATGAAAGTGGATAGGGACTAAACACTGTCAGGCTCCAAAGCAAGCAAAAAAGCAACATAAAAGTAATTTAAGTAGTGCATATGACTTGTATGCTATGTTTCAAGCCATTTGATAACTTCATGTGAGAAACATGACATTTATGTTCTTCACACTGAAATTTAAGTTATTCACTGGAAATCTCATGGTCACCGTTCACTTTCATTATATAGAAAAGAACGACTTAGATGTTCTCCTATTAATAACTCCTTTCATATTCCACAGAAGGAAGACATACTGATTTCGAAACCCATGAGGCTGAGTAAATGATGACATTACTTTTTTACGTCAGTTATTCCTATAGCAAACTGCTATGTTTATAATATCACATGACAAAATAGTCTGTTTACGCTGTACGCTGTAATTCAGATCATGCAAAAGGTTCATGCATTTGATGGTTGGAAGTGAAATAGAGATTCTGAGTTTGGAGGACGTTTGTGTACAAATAGGTGCACATATCCTAAGAAAGCTTGCTAAAATCATCATGTACTTTTTGTAATTTATAGCTTGTGTTGGATTGGCCTTTTACGTTCACTGTTGATCTATAGCTGTTATCGTTAAATGCATCATGCAAACAATTTTTTCACACTTTGCTGTGTTGTGCACAAAATTGCCTACCCACCAAAGTAGGCCAGACGAAGACCTCTATGCATTGTGCTGCTGCTTAGACTGTTTCAGAGTCAAAATCACAGTTATTATTAGCACATAACCAGTTGTGGTTGCAAGACTGCAGCCTTATCGGTTGCACATATTTGATCATCTAATTACTCTATTCTGAGGAGGTGGCAGCCACTTATTAGCAAATACAACGCCACCAACTGTGATCTGAGACTGGCGTCCTCCGGTCAAGGATGTGGCCAGGACGTCTATGTCTTTGTTTCTCTCATTCAAACTTTACCCTTGAGGCCAAGACGATGTCTGTGATTGCTTGAAGCGGGAACCTCAGAAGGCGGCGAGCGAGTTCACAGTAATTGATTGTTCTGTAGGTCTGAGCTCTGCGTCGTAAACATAAGCCCCGCTGTGATAAAAAACCCAGCTGGAGACAATGCATTCAATAAGGCTCAATGCTTGGGCCCGAACGCCCCATTTCTATAGCAACCGGCTCGTCACTGCTGTTGGCGGTCTGAACCCTGAGATAAACTGACGGTCACTTGTCTCCAGGCTAACTGTTGCTACATGTCTGTTGGTGTTTTAGGTTTATGTCCATGTGTAACTACAAATAAGAGTCTAGAAAAGTTTCCATGGAAACTGGGGTGCTGGGTAGTCACGGGAAGTTGTCTGTATGCTCAATCAATCCAAAGTCTTAAAAATGTCCCCTGGAAAATACTGTTGAGAAACGTCTTGTTGGAAATGTGGCCTGGCGGGTTGTGCACGTACTTTGACACGTTTTCCAGTGTCGCTTAAGCGGGCGACCCAAGTTAGAGTCATTTCCCAATGCCACCCCCCCCTCTCTCACTGTCATTTCCTGGCTCCTCTCT